GAGAGAGAGAGAGAGAGAGAGAGAGAGAGAGAGCAAGAGAGAGATAGCCTATCTCAAACAGACAAACAAAAGTACGGATACTCAATGACCCCAGATGACAAGATACGGAGGGTTAGCACACATTAGTCAGGTGCCCTGGGGACATACAGACATGGGTCAGATGGGAGCTTGCCTTAATAAGTTTGGACCATCAGGTGGGAACAGCAGGCCAGGGAGTCAGAACTAGCAAGCTGTCAGCGTGCTCGGTGGGTATCAAAGGGTGAAACTGGAGCGCAGAGGAGAGGAAGATATGGGTCATGTTCTATGTGGGTCATCCTGCACTTGGCTGATGTCCTGTGCCCCAAATCTACCTAGAACACTAAAGCAGCTGGTAAACAGTTTCGTTTCAGTCCTCATAGCTGCTGGGCCTCCCCACTGTGCACCTCTTCTTCAAGATGGACAGAGCTATGCATAACCTCCCGTATTTCTATGTAAATCTTAAGGCCCTCAGCTGCTCCAGCGTCCAGGATTATAGCCCACTCGATTCCCACCGTTGCATGGCATCTTCAGGAACCCCAGCACTGGGACTCGCGGATAAAGCTTGGGGCCCTGAGGGTCACTTTAAATGGCTGCTTACATTCTCACCTTTGCACTGATGAAACCTGACAAGCATCTGGATAATTCCTGTCCTTTTTTCTCCTCCCACTTTCCCTCTTTTAAGGTAAGTCTTTGCCTCACACTCTAAGAAAGCATATGTACAAACATGACAGGCAAATCTCACACGCTTATTGAAAGAATCACAGCACTGTGGGGAGTACCTATGGATGCGAAGAAGATGATAGCCAGGAAGTCACGGATAGGCTCGATGTAAGCCATGATCTCCTCGGTGACCATGTGCCCTTGGGAAGAGACCAAGGCTCCAGCCAGGAAGCAGCCAAGCTCCATAGAGACGTCCAGCAGCTCTGTGACCTGAGGATAAGGGCATCAGCTTCATACCTTGTACTGCCCAGTCTGATACTTACTGTCAGAGAGTCCTCACAGATAGACACTCCTCAACCCAGCTGAAGAAGCTTGGTGGACAGCAAGGACAGCTGCCACTCAAGTACCACCCCAGAGACACCCCAGGAGGGCCCCTAGAAAGAACACACACAAGAGACTAACATTGGCTGAATTAGCCACCCTTAAGAGAGAAAAACTAATATTTCAAAATCACTCATGTAGACAACTGTGATGTTTTAAAATGATATTTTCCAACCTTTACTTTGAATATTTGTAATGTGTACTCTCTGTCTGTATCAGGAAAGAGCCATACATGCTCGAGCACTGAAGCTACTCCTCTCACTGACCTCAAGCCTCACAGAGAAGCTAGACAACCACCACAGGCAACCACACTGACAAGGAACCTGAGAGAGCTCCCGCAGATCCAGGGGCAGGAGAAGCAAACATGTGAGCCACGTTAGACAGAATGATGGTCATCGTGAACCAGTTCTTTAACTCTCGCTGTTAGACACAGAGCTCAAGGCTGGGCCAGAGTACTGCCAGGGATCTAGCTTCAACACGGTGTGAGAGCAGGCAGAGGCTAAGAGGCAAAGCACTGGCAAATCAAAATAACAGCCTAACTTAACCACGCCTGAGCAACACACACACACATCAGCAGAGACGCATGTACACACCAACCCAACAGACACACAATCAAACACACATACCTATAACAAATACATATATACACATAGATACATTATCCACATGTATTTACAAACGTGCACATGTGCATGTATACCTCACACAAGAGGTACACGAATGAATTCAAGCACGTGTACACACATATACGTAACACAGATACTTGGATTCTGACAAGGTTACACTATGAAGGAATGGGCGAAGATTCTTTTATACATGTGGCATTCAGAAGTACATGTGAGAAACGAAGCTTCACCTCACACTGAGCCTGAACTCGTAGTCCAGGTGACTGTAGGTCTACATGACATTTGCAGATGATAACACAGGGCAACATTATGGCTCCAAAGTAGCCAACATCTGTGGATAGCACACGGGATACACCATGTGCTGACCATAAAGAAAACACTTCCTTATTGGATTCCATTGAAAATTTAAAACCACAGTCTATTAAGAATTGACATTAAGAGCAAGCCATGACCAGGAAGACATTAGCAAGAATGGCCGTGACACAGAACACTATGCAACCACACAGCCAGAAGTGTTGGTATACTCTACATGTGAACCTGGAGGCATCAGGAAGAAGCCAGACGCTAACAGCCACATGGTGTCTAACCCCATTGAGAGAAAAAAAAAAAGCCAAGAAGCAGCAAGCCTACAGCAGTGGGGAGCAGGCCAGCGGGGAGCAGGCCAGCGGGGAGCACCCAGCGCTTAGGGACACTGCCGCACACACGTCAGTGATGATAGCACAGCATTGAGAGCATCACGCAGTAAGTCAGATGATTAAAACCCTGAAGGTTATGATAAATAAATCACAGCTGCTTTTTAAATGACACAACTTGTCAAAAAATATTTTTAAGTCCTACAAGTGAGTAAGAACATTACCAATCCCACAAAGAAACAGACTACGTAAGGACACGTCCCAGAGCCGATCCCAGCAGAAGTGGCAATCCGCATCTACTGCATATGTGTATGCAAACACACAAAACAGAAAGGCTGAGATTAAAGGCAACACCGAGAATGGGGTGAGAACTGGGCTCCTGTCAATGTTAATGTCACAGATCAGGCTTTGGGCAAGCCCGACAAGCAGTGAAGGTAACCAGATGTCTATTCCATGGCCCAGAGGTTCCACCTTAGAGGACAACTGAACCATCTCCCTAGTCCCAGTGTACCATAGTTACTTACCACCGCCCTTAGAGGACAACTGGACTGGATTTGGCTATTATAATCCAGAGTGCTATGAACACGCCTGAGTTTCTGCCTGAACATGTGCAGCTGCTGAACAATACAGTCAAATTGTGTGACGATACCACTGTTACCACTGGACTATTTACAGTGTCTCTGGGCTTTTCCCCCACTGTCTCGTGGGAAGCCTACTTCCTAACACAAATCTGGTTTGTTTTGTTTTTATTGTTCTTTCCTTTATTTTTTTAAGATAATATCATTTCCCCTCCCCCCCCCCCCCGTGAACCTTCTCATATACCTTCCCCTTGCTTTCTTTCATATACACACACGGTCTGTTTTAAAGTCCCTCTTTACAGCTTGAGAAGCCATGCTGTTAACTACCCCATCCTCACCAGGAAGGGAGGGTGGTTTTAAACTTGATCTGATATTTTGCATGCAGAGCTGTGTGATGCTTAAGACAATAGTGTGCCCACGTGTCTTTTCATGAACACTCGTGTGTGTTTAAATCTGCAACACTCACAAATCCTACTTTCCCAAGCACTTGGGTGACAGGTTTGGCCACGGTAGGGTGACTGAATGAAACAAGCACACTCATTTCTGACGCCTTAAGCACTTCTCAAGGGAAGAATGAGAGAAGCAACCATCAGCTTCCGAGAGACTGAACACGGGGCCATACAAACGGCGCAGACACTCGAGGGTTACCGTCAGCATCAGGAAGGTGAAGGCCGACACTCCCAGGATTAGGATTTCTTTGTTCCCCTTGCTTTCCATGTGCAGCTTTCGATAATACGGTCCTATGAGATACGTCTTCATGACAAGACACAAAAGAAAGACAGCAGCTAGCGAAAAGAGAATTTGTCCAATCAGAAACAGTATGCGCAATATTTCCATGACAACGCTAGGAAAGAAAAGAGACAAGTGTCATCTCACCCCTAATGTATTCCTTTAGAGTCCATAAATAATCTTAAAACATTTTCCTTTAACATGTTGCAAAGTGAATGACCCAAATCATACATGTTTTTTATTTTTAAACACTAAAAGAAAAACCAATATATTACATTAATTTAGAAAATTAAGTCATGTGACTCAAATGTGGGTTTCTTGGGGTTCTATGCTTGGAAGTAAATCAGTTTTGATATAGAGTTTCCATTGGGGCTAGGAAGGTGCTCAGTGGGTGAGAGCATCTGCTCATACACATGAAGGTCTGAACTCAGATAACTAGTGTCAGTCAAAACAACAACAGAAAGGCCCAGGCGTGGTAGTGTGGTAATCCCAGCACTCAGGAAGCCAAGGCAGGCAGATCTCTGTAAATTCGAGCCTAGCCTGGTCTATATAGTGAATTCCATGCTAGCCAAAGCTACATAGTAAGACCCTGTCTCAACAGCAACCAAAAAGACATGCGTGCTCATAAGTCCTGTGCTGTGGGGGTCAGAAGTGGAAGGACACCTGGGGCTTGTTGGTGCCATCTTAGCTCCCGATTAAGGGAAAGGCGATGTCTCAAGGGAGTAAGACAGAGTAATAAAACAGGACACTTGGTGTCTTCCTTTGCATGCACACCTCCCCATATGCAGGTACACAGCATACAAATGCATATACACCATACATTCAATCATGCACACATACACACTCATGCACACATACACACTCATGCACACATACACACTTATGCACAATACACTCATGCACACATACACACTTATACACACATACACTCATGCACACATACACTCATGCACACATACACTCATGCACACATACACACTCATGCACACATACACACTCATGTACAATACACTCATGCACACATACACACTCATGCACACATACACTCATGCACACATACACACTCATGTACAATACACTCATGCACACATACACACTCATGCACACATACACACTCATGCACACATACACACTCATGCACACATACACACTCATGCACACATACACACTTATGCACAATACACTCATGCACACATACACACTTATGCACATGCATATACAGCACGCATATACATTCATGTACACCACAAACACACTATACACACACAGACACACACACCATACACAGATGCGCACACCACACTCACAGGTGCGTGCACATATATACACCAAGTCTCAGCTGACAGCTTGTGATCTCTGTGGATGATGTCAGGGGACTGAACGTGTACTGGTGAGAAGCACAGTGTTTCTGTGAGAAAGCTACAGCTCGTCTGCCCGGACCAAGCTTTCAGTCTCTCTCAGTCTACTCTTCATTCTGTAGGCTCTCTCTATTTCCCAATGTGGGTACGTCCTGGCTGGCAGTCCTGGAGGCCTGCCAGACTTATAATATAACCAAGGCTTTCGGACAAGCTAATTTTTCCAAGTTGATTTCTTCTTCCATGTGGACCGAGCAAGAGCAGACTAGGTTTGGGGCTGTTTGTGGGGAAGAATGAAATGGAGAGGATATAGTAGTGCCAACAGCAATGACATCCACCACAACACCTCTACACATCACACGTCAGTCACAGCACGAGTGTGCAAAGACACACGTGCATCACCGCTCTCCAGAGCATCCTCGGCACGTACACCTATTGATTCATTTAAGCCTCTGAGCTGCCTCAGATCAGGGGCACCACCTCCCATGCCACAGTCACGGTGAAGAGCAGTGATGTTGTGTAATATTCCAGCCCAGGAGCTAGGAGACAGCAAAGCCGGAATCAGCTTGTTGGAGTCGCCACCGCCTATGCTGGGAGGCACACGTGACATGGGTTCTGGTACCACACTGGGGAAGGTGTGTGGCATTTCTATAAACTTCCAGCTAGACAAGCGGTCGCGGCGTGCAGACACTCACCTGGAAGAGGTGCTTGCTCCAGCCTGGATGAGAGTGGGCATGACGGCGATGAACAGCCCCAGCTGCACGTCCTGCATCACCAGCATGCCGAGCAGCACTGTGCTGTAGTCGATGTCACCTGCTGGTGAGACAGCTACTCAGAACAAAGTCCCCCGGGGCGGAGCCCAGGTCCAGGCTGCTGGAACGGTGGGCAAAGGCGTCTGCAGCACATGGCTGAATCTAACCTCCCAGACCCATGACAAGGTGGAGAGCACTTGCCTCCACAAAGCTGTCTGTGTTTCACACGCGTTGCGTTTCACACCCGTGCCACGATGCATGTTTATACACGCGCACAGTAGTAAGATTAAAAACAAAGCCAAAAAAACCACAGGGTGTGACATAGTTTCAAGATAATTCACAATAATCTTTGTAATTTAAACATACATAGATTTTTTTTTTCAAGACAGGGTTTCTCTGTGTAGCCCTGGCTGTCCTGGAACTCACTCTGTAGACCAGGCTAGCCTCGAACTCTCAAACTCAGAAATCCGCCTGCCTCTGCCTCCCAAGTGCTGGGATTAAAGGCGTGTGCCACCACCACCCGGCTACATACGTAGATTTTTAAGGATCTCTTTGGAACATAGGTGGGGCACACCTGCACCCTAACAATTGCAAGGCCGAGGCAGAAGGATCCCTTTAGACAAGAGTTTGAGACCATCTTAAGCAAAGTAACAAGGCTCATCTCAAAACACAATTTAGAAGGCTTATAATCTTTAAAATCAATGTTTGCTCTTAAAGAAAAAAACTTAATGACTTTTGTTTGAGATGGGGGTGCGCAGGTTTTATTGCGTTCTCTAGCCTGCCTCTCAGGCTGAAGTCTCTTAGTTAGCTGGGACTACAGTATACACCATTGCCTGAAAAACTTTTTCTTGCAGTAAATCTCCAACCCAAGAAGGCCCGATCAATAAGAACACAACTCAAATATTGTAAGTACAAACTGCATGCCTAGATTGGGCAGAATTACCAGCACACTACTCTACTCCCCATCCATAAGGTCTCTTATCACTTGTGGGTTTTCCAGGCCACGTGCTTCTCCGTTGTCATTCTACCTAGTTTGGGAGAGAGGAGGAGGATGAGGAGGAGGAGGGAGAACAGTTGGTTCTTAGGTTGGAGATTTACTGCAACAACCTTTTATAAAGAAAATCACCGTCGGGCAGTGGTGGCGCACGCCTTTAATCCCAGCACTTGGGAGGCAGAGGCAGACGGATTTCTGAGTTCGAGGCCAGCCTGGTCTACAGAGTGAGTTCCAGGACAGCCAGGGCTACAAAGAGAAACCCTGTCTCGAAAAACAAACAAACAAACAAACAAAAAAAGAAAATCACCAAAATATCTTATTCCTATGGCTTGCTATTAATATAATTATAGCAAAATGCCACTATCAAAAGATGCTCTGTCATCCTCAGGTATAGGTGGGTGAGGAAGTCTTTGGTCCAGTGAAGGCTGGACGCCCCAGTGTGGGAGAAATCGTGGGTGGGGAGGTGAGAGTGGGAGGGTGGGTGGGGGCATATCCTCATAGAAGCAGGAGGAGGGGGGATGGCATAGGGGGTTCCTGGGTGGGAGGGAAAGGGGATTACATCTGAAATGTAAATAAAATAGCCAATTAAGAAAAAAGAAATGCACTATAAAAAAAAAAGATGCTCTGGCAAACAAGAGGACGTGCTTGGATAACGGAAATATGATTTCTCTGTCCTCAGCCCCAGCTCCCTAACAAGCCAGACTCAGCTCATTCTGGTGGCAGGTTCCACATTCTGCATACCACTCAAGCGATCCCCGACACCCTTCCCCCTCTCCTGGCACAGGAAGGGGCTCCTCTTAACCACTGCAGGAAAGCAGGAACTACAGTTTCCACCTTAGCGGTTTCTGTTTGTTCTTGTGAGCAATTGCAAATCCTGGTGGATGGAGGAAAGTAGAGAGCTCCATGGGATGCTCATCCGCCGCCGGCTTCCAAGCTGCTGCCATTGCCACAGCCCTCCCGCTCTGCAGAGTCAACGGCCACACATCAACTTTCTTCTTGACTCTCCAGAACTGTGAGCCAGAGTAAGCCCCTCCATCCTTAAGTGGCTTCTGTCAGGGTTATTTCACCATAGCAACAGAAGAGGTAACGCAGACACACTCGGTACATCCTCAGCCTCCCTGTGCTCACAGCTGTCCAGATGAAAGGCCCATCTTTCCCCCAGCAGCTCTCAGGTCCTGCTGTCGATCCATGAAGAACTTACACTAAGGTCAGGGAAGGGCTCTGACTTTATCCTGTCAATCAAATTGGGGCAGTAGTTCTTACCAGTGACTCCTCATTTCCTCCCTCGTACCTGCAGCACTTAGGGTGCCTGCTCAGCTCCACAGAGTCCTGCTATCTGAAGGCTTCTCACTTTTTTTTTTAAGACAAGGTTGTTCTGTATAGCCCTAGCTGTCCTGGAGCTTGCTCGATAGACTAGGCTGGCCTCGAACTCTGAGATCAAGTACTGCCTCTTGGTTGCTGGGATTAAAGGCAGGCACCACTACTGCCATATGCCCAATATTTTGTTAAATTTATGTTCAGTTTAATGTGTATGAGTGGTTTGCCTGTGTGTGTGTGTGTGTGTGTGTGTGTGTGTGTGTGTGTGTGTGTGTTTGCACCACGTACATGCAGTGCCCTGAAGAGGAGGAAGCCAGAAGAGGAAACTGGATCCCCTGGAATTTAAGTTGGTTGTGAGCTGCTGCTGAGAGCTGAGAACCATAGCACTATGCAAGAGCAACAAATGTTCTTATTCACTGAGCCATCTCCAGCCTCGCCTTCCTCCAACCCACAAGAGCCCTTCCTGGCCCCTTGGCCTCATATGAATCTGAAGTGCCTTTGCCAACGCCCACGAAAGGGATGGCAGACATCTTTATTAGAAGAGATGTGAACTTATAAATTCAAAGACAAAACACATCTTAGGAAAAAAAAAAAGATCTTTTTGTCCATGAACACAGACAAATTTCCTGATTAAATCTTCAGTAATTTTCCATTAATATGATTTTTCCCCTCTCAAGAGTAACATATACCCTAAACCACCAGCCCAGGAGCATACAGGGAGGGACCCATGGCTCCAGCTGTATATGTAGGGGAGGATGGTCCTGTCGGGCATAGATGGGAGAGGAGGTTCTTGGTCCCGTGAAGGCTGGACGCCCCGGTGTAGGGGAATTCAACGGCAGGGGGGGGGGGGGGGGCCCCCCCCCCCCCCCACACCCCCACACAACCAGGCGGCGGGGGGATAGGATAGGGGGTTTCTGAGTGGACGGGAAATAGGGAAAGAGGATAACATCTGAAATATAAATAAAGTATCCAATTTTTTTAAAAAAAGAGTAACATATACCTTGTGAGAGATTCATCCCCAAATTTCTTATAGTTATTACTACTATACATCAAAACTTTAAAAAAAAAAAAAAGACAAGCTCTTTATCCCAGGCTGGCCTATGTAGCTGAAGGTAACCTTGAGCCAACTTCTGATTTCCCTGCCTCTCCCCCTAAGTGCTGGGATTACTGGACCAATGCCCTCTCCAAAGTTTATGCAGTACCAGGGCTTGAACCCAAGACCTCAGACATGCTAGGCAAGCACTGTACCAACTGAGCTATATCCGGGACACTGGCCACTCCTCCCCAGTTCCGGGACACTGGCTACTCCTCCCCAGTTGGATCTCCTGACAGTGCAAGTGAACCTCCTTCTGAACACATTAATCCCTCAGTGTATCAGCCTCCCTGACACGTGACAAGGGCAGCATGCCCTTTGACCTTTCCTACAGTTTTGGTTGACCTTAAAAACCAAACCAAACCAGCCTCCTTTCCAAGCAGTCCTGAGCGGTCCAGCCTGTGAATCCCACGCTCCTCGCTGCTTCCCTGCATGCTTGCTCTGGTGAGCATCTCTTTGCTGTTGCTATCCTGCAGCTCGAGGTGAGGATGTTAGAGAGTGCTCTGCCAGCCTCGCCCTCAGTGGCATTTCTGTCTGTGTGACCTTCTCTCCCACAGCTATAGCTCCCCTGCCCTCAGGAATGACCTGAGGGTACAGAGAAGGGACACTTTGTTTCTCTAAGCCACTGGTCTTTTCCGTTGAGCTCTGAGATTTTCTTGGAATGGAAACACTCCTGTGTTTTGACATAGGTAAGACAAACTTTCCATTTTTCCCACTGAGGGTTAGAGATGTACTTTAAATCTTAGCGTCGTGTCTTTCTCCGGTTCTGGAGAATCACCAGCCACTCTCCATAGCTCCTCCCACACACAGACAGCCAGCTCCCTCTCATCTGCATGTGCTTACATGCTCTCTCCTGGTTCTGCCTGCCCTCAGCCTTTGGTATCTGATCCAGTTCCGTAGATATGACACCTGCATTTATGCTTTCAGTCATGTGATCACGCCATCGTGGTCTAGTGAACACTCCTGTGAAGGACAGATGCACAGACACTGAGGCCGACAGCTGTCTTTTCTAGAAGCAGGGGCCACATGAAGCTGTGTGAAGCTGCTACACACTTCACCCCTGGCCTGACTTTTTTCAGCCTCTGTCCCCCTGTCTTGTGTCCCAGGTTCCATCCACAGAAATATTGGACCTATGGATTGCCACAGATGTGGTCACTAAGGTAGTGACAAGTAAGTCACCCAAGCAAGGAACTGGCACATCCATTTCCCAAGAGTCCCACAGGTCTGGTAGAAACGGAAGTCCTCTGAGCCTCTTTTGCCAGTGAGAAGCCCCTTACTCCCAGGTCACACTACAAAGGTATTACAACAGTCCCAGTGGGACTCAAGAGCTCTAGCCCCCGCTGAGAGTTCAGGAGGCCTGGGGCCAGCCCCACACACTGTCCCACGCAGCTCCTGTGCAAGGCACACCCGGTTTAGTGGCGATAGAGGAGTCGGCCACATCTTCTTGGTTTTCTTTTTACATTTTCTTGTCTGTTGCTGATGAGGTCACGAGTCGGTTTGAAGCTGCTGTGACATTTTGGGCTTTACTTTCACAAAGTAAGAAGCAAAGCATGCTGCCTGGTGAACACGCATATGTGAGATTTATAATGCGGCCAAAGACACAGCTGGGAGATGAAGCCACTTGTGACTGTTCCATGCGGCTCTGGCCTCACTACACGAAGCAGTGCCTCTGAGCAACAACAGCTCACACACACAGGACAAACCCAGCCAAGTAAGAGAGTTGGGAGTGTCTTCGTGGCTAAAGCACCCCGGTTTTACAGGAAAATTCCCGGAATGTGTTAGCTCCAGTACTGCCATAACGAAACCAGCCAGCAATAACACAGCCCCCTCAACGAAGCTACCACCTCTACGGCCTCTGCTCACTGTCCGCACAGGCTTCTGATCTTGATCTAACTTGTTTCCAGCTCTCTAACATGCTGAGAACGTGAGCACACAGTGGGTCTTTCTTTCTTTCTTTCCTTCTCTCTTTCTTTCTTTCTTTCTTTCTTTCTTTCTTTCTTTCTTTCTTTCTTTCTTTCTAAGATTTATCTATTTATTATGTATGTGAGTGCACTGTCGCTATCTTCAGACACACCAGAAGAGGGCATCAGATCCCATTACAGATGGTTGTGAGCCTCCATGTGGTTGCTGGGAATTGAACTCAGGACCTCTGGAAGAGCAGTCCGTGCTCTTAATGGTGAGCCATCTCTCCAGCCCCTGGGTGTTTCTTTTAACCCAGCAGAAGGGTGGATGCATGGGTGCGCTGAACTCAAGAAGGTGAGCTCCTTGAGGTGTTGCCATGACCTGAGCAGCTGCTGACAGCGGGGCAATCCTACCGAAGGACTTGCAGGTGAGGTGCACGCGAGTATTCACTACACACAGATTGAGAGCACACTGCTTACCTACCTTCTCTGTCACTCCGGGCACTGCCCATTAGGAACCTGGACACCAGGGGTGTGCTTGACAAGGATAGGCAGGTGGAAATGAAGACACTCTGAGTGGGTCTGATCCGCAGGAGGTGTCCCCACCACAAGCCAAAGGCAATCATCAGCAGGGTCATATAGCAAGGTCCTTGTAAGGAAATCCTCCACACCTGGAAAAGAACACACATATTCATATACATTGCAGGGCAACAGCCCATTCCAGAACTATGGCCACAGAGTGGAGAAAGAATGCACGCCTTCATTTATGCGTGTTCTGAAGCAGCAGCTCGTCTCTGGACTGCCACTCCAGAGCAGAGAACTGACTTCCCAGGAAGGAACTCGGAGCCTATGCACGTACACCTAACAAACACACATCCCGGGTTGAAACACCCTCAGACACAGATACAAACACTATGTACAATCACTTCACAGTATCCCTGGAGGTTGTTTATAGACCCCCACCAAATACCAGATACTGAAATCTTCCAATGCTCAAATCTTTTATTTTTAAATTTTACTTATTTTTGTGTGTATGGATGTTTTGTCTGTATGTGTACAGTCGTGCCTGGTGCCCCTGAAGCCCAGAAGAGCATGCCATAGCCCTTGACAATGGAGTTATAAGATACTGTTGGATGTCACGTGGGTGCTGAGAACTGAGCCTGGGTCCTCTGGAAGAGCATCTCTCCAGCCTTGCTCAAACCCTATTTATTAAAAATGTGTACTATTTATGTATGCCCTCCTGTAGACTTTAAATCATCTCTGATGACTTATAAGATGCAATACAATATAAATGATTTGCAAATGCTTATGTAGTATTAATTAGAGAATTAATGACAGAAATAGGTCTGTTATATGTTCAGTATGGAGGTATGTTCATTCTGCAATTGGCTGAGTCTATGGATGCAGAACCCACAGCATGGAAAAGGGACTATAGGCCACTCAGACCCGGTGTGTAGATACATTCTGTTTTGTTTTATTGTTTTTCAAGATAGGGTTTCTCTGTGAAGCCCTAGCTGTCCTAAAACTTGCTCTGTAGACCAGGCTAGCCTCAAAGTCAGAGATCACCTGCCTCTGCCTCCCAAGTACTGGGGTTAAAGGTGCACGCCACCGTTGCCCGACTGTGTATAGACATTTTAAAAACTCAGATCTTCAGAACAAGTCCTGTAAGTACAGACCACATCTTCCCACTTTATCTGGAGATGTGAAGATACAGAAGCAGCCTGTGAGAAGTCACATGATCAGTAAGCGGAGGAACCTGGAGGCAAGCCCAGGCCGAGTGGCTCCCCAAGCAGATGGGCCTCGTTAGGTGCTCGGTGTGTATTTATAATATAGATGATATGTAGCACAGTGCCATACACAGTAGGACACGTGAAAGCTTGAGAACTCCAGGGTCAGCATTTCTGTTAGGTTAGGCTCTCAGCCTAGCAGAGGGACTCTACTGATACAGAGCTAAGTATTCCATATAACATGAAATTCATCCTATTGTGTCTTAGATGCTTGTTTCTTTTTCTCCTCTCTGCCACACACTCTCAGTCAGGGTCAATCGTTCATGCTATCTGTCCCATAGGTCTAGACCATCTACTGAAAGTGAATGGGGGCCCAGGGTTTGGGTGTGTGGAACTAGAGGCCAGCAGAGGCTTTATACAGAGCTAGCCTCATGTGGCTCTCCCTCAGATGCTTCTGGCCTAGGACATTTCCCATCATGCTCTGTTCTTGGGGTGACAATTTCATTTTTTTTCTGGAACTGGGAGTGTGGGGAGATGCTCCTAAGCTGGTGGCTGAGATTTCTGACTGCAGTCAGGTGGCCACTCACCTGACCTCCCATAATGAGGAGTCAACCTCCTGGGCTGACTCAGGAATAAAAGGGTTTCCAGACATACAGACCACCCGAGCACCGTAAGCCCAATGCCACATGACTGGGTCTGAGAGCGGCTTAATGGCCTTGGCTGTGTCGCTCAGACAGACTCCCGGACAGGGATGCTCAGCCCCCAGAGGCTGGTTCTGGGTGCTCAGCTGCCTTTCCCTCCTTCCTGTGTCACAGTGGTGCTCAGGAGCTAACTCACTTAGCATTCCTGTCACAGACCGTGGGAGTGCCCTGGCTGCATCTCAGAAAGCTACTAAGGAGGCAGGCTCGGGTGAGGATCAGGCTCATGGATCTGGGGCATTCACTCATGTAAAGCAAACTCAAAGGGCCTGGAGGTTAAGCCTGCTTATGTCAACCAGCAGTCGTGTGCTTGGAGAGGTGACTGACTCTGTAACTTTAGGTTCCACGTCTAGGGGGAGGAACAGTGAGACTGATTGACCTCTGAGGCAGGAGGACTCTGGGGTCCTTGTGAGAGCAGAACACCTTAGTGGTTCTGCAGCACATGGAGGGTCCTGGGGAGAAACAGCTCATGGAGCGACTCAGAACAAATGGGTTCAGTCAGAAGCTCGGAGTCACCATGAGACCCAAGAGGGGTTTGAAATGCAGCCTACGGTCACCCTGGGTCACCACTTGGGCTTTATTCCCAACTGATTCCTGCAAAAAAGACTTAGGAAGCTCACACTTTCAGCAACAGTGCTAATCCCTAGACGGCTGGGTACCTGCCTCACACACAGGCTGTCTGAAGTTTGTTTCTTCTTTCTCAACGTACATCCTTCTGAAACCCTAAAGTCAAGCAACGGGGCAGGATTTGATGCGCTGTACACGTAACACCACAGCAACAACCTGCCAGGAGGCCAGAAAGACAAGAGAAGAACACAAAACTCTGGCTCCCCAGGATTCATGATTTATTCAGACAGAGACGTAGAAACTGATGAACTATTAAGATAAGAAATGAACTCCAGTTCAGAGGCGGGTACAGTGGCACACATCTGTAATCCCAGAGCTAGGGAGGGTGAGGCAGGGGGATCTGTGAGTCCACAGCCAGCCTTAATTACACCGTTAGACCTTGTCTCTAAACAAAGAGGATAACTTAAGTCAATTGTAAAGCAGGATGGTGAGGAAGGTCCTGGCAGGTGCAGGAACACAGACTAAGCAGTCAGCAGGGACACGCATTCTGGATAGAAAGACTATTCCCTACCACACTGGGAAGCTCACCCAGAGTCCAGTAACTATGGCTGTTTCTAATCATCCCTTCTGAGTCCTGAGAGGGTGTCCAGAAATTATTACTATTTTGGAAAACACTATCAGATCTTTTCTACCTAAACTGTGTATACAGAAGAGATCTACTGATATGAAGTGTTCTCTCTCCTTACTTTACCTGCCCTAAAGCCCCCAGTCATCTATGTCTGCATGACAAAACAGGAAAGGATACTGTGGTTTGCTAAATCAATACCAATCTTCTGCATTCTGAACCAGAGACTGCAATGGTAGCAAGCTGCATTCTTGGCAATGCAATTTCAGAGCCAAGGCACACGTATAAGTCTAGGGCTGCCACCCATCAGACGAGAGGAGGTCCTACGGGGTCACTAAATAAAGGCCCAGCAAGGCTTCAAGAAAAGACAAGTTTCCAGTCCAGCATTCTTCTCCTCCGCCAGGTGCATCACCCCACCCCCACCCCCGAGCACCCAAAATACACTCACTTGACAAAGCAAGAACCCTTTCTACAGGCTCTCCCCATGTCTAGATTACAAGGGCAAAAGCCCACAGACAGCACCAATCAGAAATAGCACAATAACGACGTTAACAATATGTCATAGAATGTCATTTCACCATCAACCTTTGAATAATACAGAAAAAAAAAAATAATGATGAAAACCAGGAGAAGCTTTAACAAAATTCTACTTTACAGACGCGTTGTTTTGAGTATGCTTGAACCAGGGAGTGACGTTAGGAGGTGTGACCTTGTTGGAGGAAGAGTGTCTCTGTGGGGGTGGGCTTTAAGACCCTCCTTCCTTGCTGCCCATGAGACAGTCTTCTCCTGTTTCCCTTTGGAAACAGAACTCTCAGCTCCTCCAGCGCCATGCCTGTCTGGATGCTGCCGTGTTCCCACATGGACGATAATGGACTGATCCACTGACCTTGTAAGCCAGCCCCAATTAAATGTTGTTCTTTGTAAGAGCTGACTCGGTCATGGCGTCTGTTTATAGCAGTAAAACCCTCAGACAACAGACGATGTCAGATGGAAACTGACGACCAGGAAGGCTCAGATCTCTACTCAAGAGCTTATTGCTCGTTATAAGGAAACAGGACTTCACTTGCCTTGCTTGCCATGAATCACTATTTACACCAAGTGTCTCTAATTATGAAATCCCACATGAACCACTGTACTTGGAAACAGAGGTCACGTGCTTCCCTGAAGCCTGCCCAATACGGCACTGGTGATGGCCAAGCCCAGCTTACTCTAACAAAGCAGGACACCCCACAAATCCCTTCTACCCAAGCTTATTCCCTCCCTACCCGACACTCTCCAAGAGGATGCACAGGGAAAATGGAGCTGCTTTTAATTTAGGATCTAGAAGAATGGTTCGTTTTCTTTGCACTATCAGTTTAGAAATGGACACGTGGGGCTTACGGTGTAAGGAGTGCACAAGGAAACCAAAGTCCCTGGAAGATGGCACTGACACAGTTCACACCCCTCGAGAGGCAGCACACCTCGGCACATCAGTCCCAGGCAGTGAGAGCAGACAGATCAACAGAGCTGGCAGCAGAAGAGAGGTGAGGGAACCCTAAAGGCAGCAGTGACAAGCACCCTCTCTCCAGGGAAGGCAAGAAAGTGTCAAGACAGTGTGAAGACAATGTGGGAAACCAGTGGTCACTCTCGGAAGCAAACAAAGCTTTAAAAGGAAAGTTAAAAAGTATCAGACAGCTGGGAGTGGTGGTACACATTTATCATCCGGCATGTGGGAAGCAGAGACAGAAGGACTGCCACAAGTTTGAGGCTTTGTAAATATCAGGTTCTACAGGGAGTCATGGGGGAAATCTCAAACAAAAACCCAAAACACTGGCCAGCTTTCATAGTGCTAGAAGGTGCTAAGCCAGCTACTGGAGGGGAAAAGCAACCACGGATCATAACCATCTGTGAATCATGTGCCACAACGACTGGGCTGGCAAGACACGCCCATTGGTGCAGTAGTGGTGTGAACATCACAGGAGTAACCACCCACCTTCTGGTTAGACTCTAGCTCCATTCCATGGGATGAAACCCATACCTGCCACCGTTACTCAGCCAAGATCCTATGGCTAGACAGGACATAGGCTCTGGAGGAGAACCGGCTGCTATTGTGTGTTAAACAGGCATAGCATTGAGCTGACTCTTAATGACTTATCATTATACCCACAGGTCACCTGAGAACAAGAGACTAGAGGATGCTCAGCCCTATGCCACACCCCTTTCCCGAGGTTTAGGGATCATTGCAGAAGAGAGCGTGGAAAGAGTGTAAGAGACAGAGACAGTGGATAACTACAAAGAAACATCCTCTAGACACAGCAGGGGAGTCGCACACATGAATCCACACCAATTGTGACAGCAGGCACAAAACTTGTGCAAGCCCAAGTCAGACAAAATCCCAGCATGGACAGGGGAGTTGGGTACAGTATCCAACCCCTCACCATGGCATGGACGGCAACTGTTAGCAGCTGGGAGAGGGAGGAACGGTTTTTTTGAAACTGTATTCCCTGATAAGTTGACCATACTCCACCTGAAGACCACACATCCAAGCATATTTGAGTAGCACAAGTTGTTCTTTACAGGTTAAAAGAGAAAATGGAGTCAGAGTTGCCTGGGTGGATCTGAGAAGAGTTGGGGGCCTGGATATGATCAAAACACACCATCTGAAACTAAAGCCTTTCAAAGAATTTAAAAGAGAGAGAAAGAGAGCACAAAGCTGGGGGTGGGGGTAGAGCTGGGAGGAGTTGGGGGACAGAGTGACTATGATCAGAGTAAACTATATAATATCCTCAAAAAAATAATAAAAAATGCTATTTTTAAAAAGTACTAGGCACAGGAGAGACGGTTCAGTGGTTAAGAGCACTGACTGCTCTTCCAGAGGTCCTGAGTTCAGTTCCCAGCACCCACACAGTGACTCACAACTTTATGTGATGGGATCTGATACCCTTTTCTGGGTGTCTGAGGACAGTGACAATGTGCTCACATACATAAACTAAATAAATACATTATTTTTAAAAAGTACTGTAGAAAATTTGGACAGACATAGAAGGGTGCGACTATAGCCAGTCCCTATTGTGTCCAGTGTGTGCTTGTTTCTTCACCTTTGCTATTACCAGGTAATATGTTCTTTGCCCATATTTGGTCTGACTAGCAGCTCCGGCTGACCTCAGACTCTCAGATACTAGGGTTACAGGTTCACACTACTGGACACAGTTTGATCTCTTCCTTCCTTCCTTCTTTCCTTCCTTCTTTCCTTCCTTCCTTCCTTCCTTCCTTCCTTCCTTCCTTCCTTCCTTCCTTCCTTCCTTCCCTCCCTCCTTTCTTTCAGGTTTATTTTTAATTATATGTATTGGGGGTGGGGTATGCACACATAATGCAGGTGCACTTGGAGACCAGAAATGCTGGATCTTCCTGGAGGTAGGGTGTCAGGAAGCCTGTGAGCCACCTGATGTGGGTGCTGGGAACGGAAAGGTCTGCTGCAAAAGAAGAAAGTGCTTCAGCCACGAGCCGTCTCCACAGCCCCACCATTTTGCTTACAGTTAGTGCTGTAACAAACATTCTCCCTTGCTTCTATCCTTTAGAATTTTAGTCACGGCACAACATCCCATCAGGCAGTTAAGTTACTGCTTAGCCACTAGCTCTTCCGGTTATTGATGACAATCTTTTAACGTACTGACTGACCGGCCTGTGGGGAGATGCTGCAGCCTGCCCAAGGAGGTCAGAGGGCAGCAGGAGCTCAGCAGGAGCTGCTGGTCTCCTTCCACAGCCTGGGTCCTGGAGCTCGAGTTCTGAGGCCCAGGCTTGGTGGCCAGCACCTTTCACGTGCTGCTCTGTCTCACCAACAGTCTTGTTTGGTTTTGTTGTTGTTTTGAGACTGGGTTTCACTATGTGGTCCTGACTAGCCTGGAACGTCCTATGTGGAGCAGGCTTGGTCACATAGAGATCCACCTGCTCCTGCCTCCTAAGTGCTGGGATTAAAGGCATGTGCCACCATACCTAACTCTAGTGTTTCTTAAACTTGTCTCCATGAGGAATTAAAACTCTTTTGTTGGTAAAAATCTGTCTGCTTGTGGGTGTGTAAAGGGGAAGAGGAGGCAGTGCGTGCATGTGTGTGTGTGCAGGGGCACACTGCATGTCCACTGGCTGGAGGACAAACTCAGGTGTCGTTCTTTGTACTGTCTACCTTTTGGAGACAGTCTTTCACGTACTTGGAGGCTGCCAATTAGGGCAGACTAACTGGCAGTAAGCCTGAGGACTTTCCAAATACTAGAATGGAAGTATGTACCACCATGCTCAGCTTCCAATAGCATTTTATTCCCTAACACTTAAACCTTTAAGAAATTATTTCCCTCATTTTAGAGGAAAAAGAGCAATCTCTAATTCACTCTCCATCTTGGGAATTTCCTTCTAAAGAAATACACTGAGTATCAAATCTCTATTACATTTTACTCTCAGTTACATAGTTTTGGAAGGACACATATAAAACTGCATGAAAATTCATCCCATTTATTAAGTTCTGACTTTTTCAAATTTATTTTCTAAAAAAAAAACAGTATTGAACTAAAATGTCATATTCTAGTTTTTTGTTTTTTTTTTTAAAGCCCACTTGATAGCCAAGAGGACTCTAAATGAGTTCAAGGCCAGTCTGGTCTAGCAAGACCCTGTCGCCAAAATAAATAAACAAACCCAGGGTCCCCCCAGGAGATGGCAGAGGGGCTGGGTCCTTACCTTTCTCAGCTTCTCTGGAGAAAACTCTAAGCCAACCAGAAACAGAGTAAAGAAGACTCCGAATTCTCCTAGTGTCTCCACCTGTACAATAGACTGAGAGGCAAGAAAGCGTATTATTTAATGTTTAATTTACTTAGTATACCTTATCAAAAGAATATGTGCTAATATAGAGAGAAATAGTCCCTAGCCCCTTCCTCCCCCCCCCAAAAAAACAGTATGTTTTTCAAAAAGGAAGTGGATTTTGTTAATTTCTCTTCTGAGATCTTTTTGACTTCCTTAAGGTGTGTGTGACACACACACACACACACACACACACACACACACACACACACACACAGTTTTTCTTGATTTGCCAGAGGAGTATTTACTCTCCTTGGAGTGTCTATGAAGGAGCAGCTGTGGGGCTCGCTGACTTCACATACATGGTGGCCATTCTGTCTCATTAACTCCTTTCTTCAGCTCCCTTCAGGGGAGAAGGAGCCACCAAAGCTCACACTGACTTCTTGTTTGGAAATGAGCATGTCTAAGTAGGGAAGTTTTTCTCCTGAGGTGAATTTTCACATTTGGCCACATCACAGAGGTTTTGATGTGTATATGTGTATGTATGTGTATATGTGTATGTATGTGTATGTATGTGTATGTGCATATGTATATCTTTTGACTCATTTGTCTTTTGTTTTTAACACTGTCATATTAAAGGAAAAGAGACAGGACAACAGGTTTAAGTTCTAATGTTTCTCAGCGGTGCTGTGGTTGGTCCCTCTGTCCGGAGCTGCCAGCATGATTGTCCTTGCTGCTTGCGCTGTTTGCTCACCTTACTGCTGTATTTCCTCGGCATGTCTTGTTTATGATGCTTCTGTCTGAACCATCCGTAAGTCTCTCAGTGTGGGAATTTATTCCACTTACTGCTAAAGCCGACGGTATTTCCTTGACATCTTCTTGGCTCGATGCTTCCTTACTGTTACTTCTATTTTCCTGCTATTTCTCTTTCCTTTTCTTGGTCAGACCGTAGCTATGATGCCCAGACGATACACTTATATCTCCATTTCTCAACTTCATCATGCAAGCCTATTAACTTCCAATAAGAAACGGTTACTGCTCTGGTTCTCCTGACCTTGGCCCACCTTTACCTAGGATGCTCTTGGGTCTCTCCTCACAAGCACAGGACCTTCTCCTGACAGTGCTCACAGTACCCAGGTGTTACCTGGCCCCAGTTGTTCTGTGTAATGGCAGCGTGTTTGTGAGTACTCCTATGTGTCTGCACTTACCCTAAATGCTCTAGGTTGGAGAGGGATGCATTTGAGGGCCTTCTTCCTAAATCTTATCACACTGTTCTAGGTCAGTAGGAGTACTTGTTCCAAACACGAATCTGTACAGCTCACTGTGCTGTGGAGCCTTTGAGCACTTCACGGGATGGAGGGCTGCCTTCACAGCAGGTGAATCTCTTCCCTGAAGGCCCAAAGCTCTGAGCCTGGGCAGCCTAGGCAGACAGCTCTTTTCCTGGTCAAAGATCATTTGCTGTCACTGAGTCTTCCGACCTGGTTCAAGGATTGCGGGCTGGAGCGTCCTGCAGGTCTCCCTGGGTACCACTTGCTTCTGTTCCCCTAGGGTGTCTCAGTGATATGAGGAGGGTTCCGGGGCTGCTCCTGTGCCCTCCTGGGTCATTTCCTCCTCGATGAACTCACAGCACCCACTCTGAGTATCCTCTTCCCATTGTCCCCACTTAAGTGACATTTGCTCCGACACCCTTCTTTCCTGCTGGAGTGCTTCTGTTTCCTGATGACAGGGAGCAGCACCTGTTCCACAGATGGCTTCAGCGAAAGGGACCTTGGTCTCTACTGTCTCTTGAGACTGGGACTTCAGTCAGCTTCCCCAAACCACAGGAACTACATAAAATTACACCGAGACCAACATTTTCAGTTGACCTACTGTCTGAATGGTTGACTGGATAATGCAGGCCACTAGATCACCAGTCATTCTTAAATATTAATGTAATTTAAAGAGATAAATTACTTGTCATCAAACCACCCTGCATCGAGAAATGAAATATTCCCATAGAGTAAAGATTTCGTCGAGGGCACCCTTGACTGGCATCTGCACCGACTCCAGCTCGAATATACTTAGGCTTTGCTCCTGTCTCTTTTCATCTTGTTTGACACTAATGCAGAATTAATTATTCTTACCTTAATACTGTTCAATCCTGAAGGCCCCAGAAGCACCCCACAGATTATATAGCCAAACATCGTAGGCAGTCCTATTGTTGTACACAGCCAGCCACAAGGTAAGGACAGCATCCCTATGGTCACGATGTCCTAACACGGGAAGGAAAAGTCAAGACACAGAGTGGTTGGTTGGGAGGGTGGAATGGGAAGAGGTCTCTGATTTCATCTTATCATTTGAGAATAAAAAGCAAGCTATGCCTCCCACAGAAGCTGAGAACCTTAAGCTCTAAGAGATGATGTTCAATCCTGATAGAACCTGTCTGTTTCTTCACGCTCCCTAAAAGCATTCTTTGACTCTTGAGTACTTGAATTCCACTGAGTGTTCTGGTCCCAGGGCCCAGAGAGCTCACATGCTGATTCATGATACCTCACACTGCATCTCTTACCACTTAATAACTGATTACATCACCGATTAACAGTAAGATTGAGCATGGTGCTGAAACCCCGAGGCGAGCCAGACTCGGTATGGGATATTTACGCAGTCTCCAATATTTCATAGAAATTATTCACTCATCATGGAAGGAGGGGGAGAGAAGAGGAGCCCCGACCTCCAGGGAGGCTACTGACAAGTCAGTCTGCAGTATCAGCTCTCTGGGTCCATTCTAACCATAATCATAGACAGCGGCTTACTGAAGCTTGGTCTGTTACTACGTATTGTAATGCTAAGTGCAGACCATCTAGAACTGGAGAGTCTACAGGTAGGCCCAAGTGATGCTATGTGCACTTGCCCCGAAGTTATTTCTGATTGGTGAATAAAGATGTTGACAGCCAATAGCTGGGCAGAAGAGACATGGGTGGGTAAGGCTCCTGGGCTTGGGGTGGAAGAGAGCCATGAGGGGCGAAAAGAGGGTTAATAGAGGAGGAAGCTACCATGGGTTAGGTGAGTCATGAAATCATGTCCATGTGGGTTGGCTGATTGGAGTTAAGAGCAGCCCAGACGAAACATGGCAAATTATATTGTGGGATTATTGGCTGTGAAATAGACATAACAGTCAGAGGATAGACATCTGTCCAGCTCTTCTGTTGATTAAGGCTTATTGTAAATATAAATGTTGTGTGTATCTTTTATCCAGGAACTAAATGGTTAAAGGCAAGGTAGAAACCCTGGATTGGGATTAAATTTTTCTACAACAGTGGCACCTGACATGAGCTTGATTCTCCAGTAAGAATCAGCACCTGGGAGGAGCCCTAGACATCCTGTTTTCTCTGCCCACTGGAGGGGCTATCCGAAACTCAACTGTGGTGCTGCATGCCTATGACCCCGGCACTCAGGAGCTGAGACAGGAGGACTGCTGAGAGCTCAAGGCCAATAAGCACTACACAAATGAGTTCTAGGCCAGCCTAAGCGCCACAGTAAAAGCCTCTCTCAACAAAATAAAACAAAATGAGGAAAGCTTCTGAAGGAACAGATCTGAGTGTTGCAGTGGAGCCTCTGGCAGCAGGAAGGCTGGCTTCCAGTGTGAGGTAGGAGACAGCTCAGCCTCACTGGCCAGCCCCAGGCTGATGGCTACGGCTTGCCTTTATGAAGTGGTGGTCTGCACGTGGGATAGTTGAATCTCTGGGCTTGGTCAGAATATACTGGTTGTTCTGGGAGTCAATAAGCATGCTGAGGCCTAGGCCATCCTCCACTTCCCTCTTGGTGATGTTCTGCTTGGAACTGGCCTCCTCTTCCTCCACTCTCAGAACCGCCTCAAAGTTGACGCCTTTGACCTATAATGACAACCGATATCATACAATTAGAACTAAATGCTTTCACATCGGCCCTGCAAGAGTAATGGTGGAAAGAATAACGGGAATGTTTTAGTACTCTGTGACAAAAAGACCAGTAAAGCGAAGTCTGTTGTCAGGGTCTGTAATCCCAGCTTACAAGGGTGAGGCACGAGGATCCAAGTGTGGCCTGCCTGGCCTGCAGAGTGAATCGAGGTTAGCACAGGCCGCTTGGCAAGCTCCCACTTCAGAAGACAAGTGAGAAGAAGGCGGTATGTGAGTCAGTGCTAGGGCACTGCGCACAGCCCTGGGCTCAATATCCAGTTCCAACCAATAAAACAAACCAACCCGGTCGCATTCGTTAGCCAGAATTAGGGACATTTTCAACTAAAGAGTTTAAGAGTGAAAATATTAGAACCGGGGGCTAAAGAGATGGCTCAGCGGTTAAGAGCACCGACTGCTCTTCCAGAGGTCCTGAGTTCAATTCCCAGCAACCACATGGTGGCTCACAGCCATCTGTAATGGGATCTGATGCCCTCTTCTGGTGTCTGAAGACAGCGACAGTGCACTCATATACATACAAACATACATACATACATACATACATACATACATACATACATATTAGGACTATGCTACTTGGAAACACCTACTTCACCTGATTTACAGTATATACTTTTACCTGATTTACGGTACGTACTTTACCTGATTTATGGTATATACTTTTACCTGATTTACGGTATATACTTTCATATATCTCTAGGAGCTCCTCTCCAGTCCTAGAACTGATGAATTGAGCTTCCTGCTTCTATTCTCCTCACACACGCCTACTCACAGTCTGATTTGTCTTTACTCTGTAACTGTTTCTAGTCCACCCAAGACCGCAATTCTTAGCGTCATTAGGGATTTCCCCTTATGATCTCAACATAGCAAAGGTAAAGCACGAATCTTATTTTAGCTCTAAGTCCGTCTTTTGCAAAACATAAGATAAGCTCTGAAACCCGACCACCTAAACTCCCTGAATCCAGAGTCAAGCCACTGACACAGAAGTGACTGTGGTTGACATAAGAGAAAGCAGAGCTGGGTGGTGGCGCATGCCTTTAATCCCAGCACTAGGGAGGCAGGGCGGGCTGAGTCTCTGACTTTGAGGCCAGCCTGGTCTTCAGAGCGAGTTCCAGGACAGCCAGGGCTACACAGAGAAACCCTGTCTCAGAAAACTAAGGAGAGAGAAGGCAGAGTGGCTCCTCGCTTCTGAAGACATGCCGTATTAACTTCAATGTGGCACAGAAGTGTTTTAGTTTATCCGCACTGTCGGCTCCACTGAGACACACACGTAAGTATCTTGCGCGTGCCAGGGCCCATGTCATCACAGTGGCTTAGCCAGTGGACTCTGGTCTGCTTACTGATTTATTGTCATCGAAGGCATGCTCCTCTATCTCCTCCTCCAGGCGGTCCGCAGCTTTCCTCACGTCTTCAAGAATCTCGTCAAGCATGGAGAGACTCTTGTTTTGATGCTGCATGTTCTTAAGGGCTTCCACTTGGTGTTTTTCTGCGGCAAGAAGTTCCACATACTCTGTCTCCTCCTGTTGATGTGTAAGAAGTGGAGGTTTAGTAAGCTTACACCACCGCGCTGTGACGGGTGGTGACGTACTCTGATCCACTCTCTAAAGGCTCGCCTCCAGATTAGTCCTAGTCAACGGGCCATTTGTACGGGTGCAACTCTAGCAATTCCCAGCAGAGGGCGTCGAGCATCCTAAACGGCTCAAATATGCTGAGCCTGGCAAAGTGTACAGGACAACCAGCATAGCATAGGAACACACCAAAGAAGAACACATCCTACTGTAAACGGGCTTGCTCACCACCCAGGAAGGTCCTCTGCTAACACGAAACCAGGCGCCGGGCACAGTGATGTGTGTGTGTGTGTGTGTGTGTATGTGTGTGTGTCAAGGATACTCGTGGACACCTAGCTACTTTTCTGAGTTTACAGGTAGAGCCCAAGCTAATCCTAGTCAGAGTAGAGCACTAGGAGTCACATGACATCCTAGCCGCAGTGATGGCGCCGACAGGCTTCAAGAAACGTACTCCTCCAGCTGCCCTTCCTAAGTCTGTGTGTCACCCCAGCCCAACTCCCATCCCCTGACAGATCCCTAGAGGACAGGTCCCTCCACCCCAGACTGGTGGCTCACCTTAATGGCAGCCTCCCTCAGAGCCTCCAGGCGCTGCTTGCTGCTCTCCTTCATGTTGACCACGTCTCTGTAATCGCCCTGTAGGGCTCTCTGCAGCCCATAGATGGCCTGGAAGACTGAGTTTTCACTCTCGTTCAACTCTTTCTGGAAAATCTCAAATGTGTGCACCTGGAAGAGCTTCTCCTCGCCCGAAAGGCTGGCGTCCTTCTCCACTGCTCTGATGGCGTTCTTCAGTTTGTTGAGAACTACATTCTTCTGGCGCAGGAGCCCAGTGAGCCTCCGGCAGCTGTCCAGGGCCCACTGTTTCCTCTGAGTGGCAGTGGCGCCCTTCCCGCGGTGCAACTTGATGGCGTGCTTGGCCACTTCCTCGTGCTCGGGAGCGCTGGCTATCAGGCCAAGGAAGGGAAGCAGCATCCAGAAGACACTCTGGTCCAGCGCCTTCATGGTCCAAGGATGCGAGACAGGAACAGAGACCTCTGTTGCATCCGGCTTGCATTTTACACACACATTTTTGGCTGAAAAACAAATCGGACATTGCATCAACTTCTGAACTTACCATATCCAGATTACAGTCAAATACTGACTGTTACGTACCATAAGTGGAGAGTAAAGGGGTTTCATCTGACTTTAAAGACTATTTTAAAGGTTTAAAACACAGCCTCCAGGCACAATGTCACAAGCCTGTAATCCCAGCACTTAAGAGAGGGAAAGAGAAAGACTGGATTGGTAATTCAAGGCCAGCCTATGCTACCTAACATCTTTTCTCAAAAGAAGCCAACAGGTAAATCAGTAAGAAAATGAGACCTAGCTTCATAAACTGACCATGTGTGAAAGAAAAAAACCATTCCTCCTTAAGAGGAGCCACATGTCAAAAGTAGAAAAAGAATTGAAATTCCCCAGCACAGCGGAAGCCCCTGCCTTCTGAGACGCTGATGGCGTGCTCGGCCACCCTGATGCTTTCCAAATCCTTTTGGAGTATTGCTGATTTTCCAAAATGAGCTGTAGTTAATGAATCAAGACATTCACCAGAGTCCGACCACACCTAGAACTCTACGGCGTGATAAAATGTCCAAACCGTTTCCATCACTGAAATGTAGGCCTGTTCTCTTCCCCTCCAAAGGGAGACCTAACACAAAAATATGGGTGTTTGGCAAAAGAGCAGAGAACCTGGTTCCTGAAGTCTCGTTTGGGGATGTGAGGAAGGTCTCGGTGCCAGCTACAGCTGAGATGACTAGAAGACACTGGCCAGGGCAAGTAAGAGAACTGTTTTACAAGCTGGTAGCAGCAGTGCTCAGTAAGCGATCCTGAGAGACACTGATCTAGGAGGCTGGAAAACAGGCTGAAGAAGGAACAAAGGGAAAGGGAGTTAGGCCCTAGGAATCAGCTGAACATAGAACCCCAGGTCACGAGAAGTTATGCCCACAAAGAAAACAAAATATACCACCTTTATACAATTTACAGTTCATGGATGTACCCCATCTAATCTCTTAATGGAGCCTCCAACTGACTGCTCTGCCTGTATGACATCCTCCACTCCAACATGCCAGCATTTCATCTCCCTGGGAATCTGCTTCCTAAAACACACAAACACACACACACACCACACACAAACACCACACACACACATACCACACACACACACCACACACACACATATCACACACACCACACCCACATACCACATACACCACACACACACACACCCCACACACATCACACACACACACCACACACACACACCACACACACACACGCACCACACACATAGCACACACACCACACACACATACCACACACACCACACACATACACACACACACCACACAAACACACACACACATATACCACACACACACCACACACACACCACCACACACACATACATACCATGTCCCCCACACACCACATACACACACATACAACACACACACACACACACACTCTCTCTCTCTCTTCTAATCCCAATGATTTTCCAGGCAGCATGGGCTAGCTGTAACAAAAATAAAAGGTGGCATTTCTAAAGACTCCAACTCTACCTAGCAGAGGGAGGCAAGCATTCTGATAAAACCAGGAAGCGAAAGCCAGTGGAGACAGGCTGACAAAAACAAACATGAGAACTTGAATCTCTGAGTTCCAGGACAATCAGGGCAACACAGAGGAAATTCTTTGCTTTCTCTTTTCCTTCCCAATCATTCTCATGCGTGTGTGTGTGTGTGTGTGTGTGTGTGTCAGGATCCAGGGTCTCTCTGTGTAACTCTGGCTGTTTTAGTTCTCACTCTGTAAACCAGGCTGGCGTACAAACTCAAGAGGTTCCCCTGCCTCTGCCTTCCACGTGCTGGAATCAAAGGTGTGCGATGCTATGCCTCGCTTTCTTTTCTCTCTTTCTTTCTTTCTTTCTCTCTCTCTCTCTTTCTTTCTTTCTTTCTTTGAGGAAGAAACTTTCTGAGAGTCAACCTCAGGGCTCCTTTTCGTTTGGATCGGCAACAACAATACTTTCAGCATAAGGATCACATAATTTTCCAGACATGGTGATTCAGTCTTATAATCTCAGCCATGATTTTATTCAGAAGAAAAAAATCTCAATATCCATTTTTGAAACACTGTGTTTATTACTACTATATAGCTAGGACACTTTCAAACATCTGATTCTCCTGCCTCAGGCTCCAAAGTAAAGCTCTGTTCTTTGCAAGATGATATGAATAAGGATAAATGGATGAGATAGCAAAGAAAAGTCTCAGTGGGAAAAATTACTGAATTAAAGCCCTTGGCTTAAAGCCTGTCTGTCTGTCTGTCTATCTATCTATCTGTCTGTCTGTCTGTCTGTCTGTCTATTTTTGAGACAGTCTTACTATGTAGCCCTGACTGTCCTGGAATTAGCTACGTAAATTGGCCTCAAACTCATAGAGATCTGAGTCTTTGCCTTCCATGTGCTGGGATTAAATGTGTTCTTCCATCAGCAAAGCCTATTTTAAATTCTAAAGTACATTTAAAAAGAGCACTTGTACCCACATAACACAATAGGTAGCTGTCAAAGATGAAGCATTTCATTAGCTGGCCAATCCTTGAAACTACTTTGGAAAAAGAAAAAAGAAAACCATAATATGGAAGAAGAATAAGATGCCATGAACCAAAGAAACGTAAGAAAAACAGAGGCTGAGCAAACAGTGATTTGACTTATAATCAATGAACCACAGCATCTTGCTGGTGGTGTCCAAAGGATTGTTCAAATAGCTACTTTATTTGTTAAGGAGGTGCCAACTTAAATCCACAAAGAGAGGAGACACAGAGCCTACTCACTAGCCAGCTGCTTGTTTGTTCTTTCTTTAGTTAGGGAAGCCAACTAGGAGAAAAAGATCTGTGAAGAAAGAGGCCCTTTCATCAGCAGCAAATATTTCTCTGGTAAGTAAGCAAATCTAGACTGCACCCCAGGAAGATGAGCTGGATGCTGAAAATAAATAAGCAAGCGAGGTTAAACCCACTGTGCTAGTGTGACCTTCCACGTTATTTTCAACCTACTTCATTGGTTTTATACACACACACACACACACACACACACAAACTACACCTAAATTAAGAATTAATGTGTAAACCATCTTGGTTGATTGTTGACTCTGACACCTCCCTGACTGTACAAGCTTAAGTCAAGCGTTGCTGGGCACCCACACCCCTTATTGAAAGACAATCTTGGGGTGTCTTTCCAGGTCTATCTTTAAAAAGAGGGTGTCTACCTCAGTACCTCACGGGGCGGGACACAGAGACAACATAAAATTCCAGGGAAGAACAAAAAACGGGAGGATCGAGGAGCAAACCTCCGAGTTTAGGTGAAGTCTTGGAAACGGGGAGTCTCCCCCACGTCCTGCAAGAACTTCTAGGAAAGGACCCTCCCACTCCCAGCAAAGTAGACAAAGGCAGCTCCCTAGGAAGGACCCCCTTCTGGAAGAGACAAACCAAGAAGAATTCCTAGGCAGAAGTCCCCAGGATTGAGCAATCCGGATGAGGACCCCAGTGGAGCGCATCTCAGGACAGAAGTCCCGCAGCCGCAGAGCTCACCCCGATGGAGGAGGCCGCTCTTTGGACATGCGACCTCAGCATCACTGTTCCCGATCAGGAGCTCCCCAGCGCAGCGAACCAAAGGGCCAAGAAGGACTTGCCCTCATCTCCCGGACCTGGGACCAGGACACTGAGGACGGCACCGCCCTCTTCGTACTTCAGGCGCTTCTGACGTGCAGCTGAAAAGTAGCTGCGGCTCCTTTAAGCAGGCTGCTAATGGACAGCTCCGTCGTCCTTCGCGCGGCGCGATGCACGCCGGGAACTGGAGTTTCTGGAGCCGTCCGGCCAGCCTCCTTCTAGAGGGTGCGTAGCCTAAGAGCCACAGAACGGCAACAGCTTCCGAGAGAGGTTACGATGCACCCAAAACGCCGTGCCTCGGAGCTGAAGGGCGCCTGCCCGCACTGCACGCGGAGAGCCCAAGACTGAGCGAGCTTCCCAGTCCGCTGCAGGAGCGTCCCGATACTGCGCCTGCGCAAAGCGCCTGCTGCTAGCCGCGGCTGCGATCGCCTGCGCAGAGGAAGAGCGGCGTGCGCTTGCGCAGAAAATTGAAGTCGCTTCGGCAGCACTGGGGAGCATGGTAGGTGGCTGGCTCCGCGCTTTGCAGGTGCGGGCCAGAGCCGTGCGCGGAGGTCACCGCTCCGCGGCGGCTTCAGGATAACTGAACAGAGGGGCCGGGTGTGCCCGTCAGGGTGTTGAGGGAGGGCACGGTTGACTTGGAGAAGCATGGTATGAAGAGGGGTGTGAGGAGTCCAGTTGGATCTCGGGAAGGGCAGCGGTGCCGGGTCAGCCGGGTGCTGACCGGACCGGAGGGCGGGACGGGGCAGTGCGACGGGTGACACCTGCCTGCTGGGCGGAGCCGACCCGCGTCTGAGTGGACAGTGACGCCCACTGGGGCGGAGCTGGCGGAGCTTTGAAGCTGTTGGTCCAGGGAGGTTTCTGGAAGAGGTGGAAGGAAGCAATCCCCGGAAGGTGGTTGCGCTAGGCTCTCCAGGGTTAGGATGGTTTGCGATCCGGTCAGCTCTCACCGGGAGAGGATATCCCAAGTTGCCAGCTCTCTTCCTGAGATCAGGCTGGGAATCCTGGGGACGGGGAGGGACCGATTGGACACCGAGGTAGAGGAGGGTTTGCATCGCGTGAGGACGTCTGACAGTCCCGTTCCTTGGATCTCGGGGTAGCCTCGCTCCGAGAGGCTGCAGGCAAATGGGAGCCGAGGAAAACAAGTTTTGTCTCTGTCCTGGGAGAGATGTCTGCTTGGCTTGGAATCTGCATAGAGGAAACAGGGATGAAGACCGAACCGCGGGGAGGGAAGAGGGGATGGAACGAATACCGAGAAGGGCGAGGCTGGAAAATTAAAAGGTTTGAACCTAGAAACCAAGAAATAATGGAGAAGAGCCGCAGAAAGACCCCTCTGACCAGCTGCTAGCAGACCCAGCGGCCAAGCCACTCACCTATGCATGTAACCGGGAACTTCACTTGGGAAGGAAATATTGGGAGGTTGACTATTCGGGAGCATTTGGATTTTATGCCCCCATTTCCAGTCTTGCACATGCCAAAACACAGTCAACCTAAAGTGGACCACAAATGTGTTAGATCAAATGTCTGTCCTATGAGCGAGCCCTTTGCAAATTGACTGTAAGAGGAGGTATTTAAGCGTCTCTGGAAGGACATTTTACAGATGCTTTCTAAAATCTTTTTTTTTTTTTAAGAATTGTTTATTTTGCCGGGCAGTGGAGGCTCACAGCTGTAATCCCAGCACTTGGGAGGCAGGGGCAGCCGGATTTCTGAGTTCGAGGCCAGCCTGGTCTACAGAGTGAGTTGCAGGACAGCCAGGCTTACACAGAGAAACCTTGTCTCGAAAAACCAAAAGAAAAAAAAAAAGATTTGTTTATTTTATTTATATGAGTACTGTATCTGTCTTCAGACACACCAGAAGAGGGCATCAGATCCTATTATATATGGTTGTGAGCCACTGTGTGGTTGCTGGGAATTGAACTCAGGACCTTTCCAAGCAGTCAGTGCTCTTAACCACGGAGCCATCTCTCAAGCCCCTAAAAATCTTATATAGGAGCACCCTTGTGCCTAGATTGTGTGTTATCCTTCACAAGATAACACATAAAGCGTTTGAAACTTTTTCATGCCAGCTCCTGCTGTTCAGAAGGTCCACTTGTCCTGTTTCCTGTAAATCTTACTGATATCACTCGCTGAAACAATTGTAAACAGCTACTGTAGCATGTGAGGGACTGTGTTGAGCCCTGGGAGAAACTATGGAAACATAAATCAGGGGCTGCTGGCGCTTCTAGTGGTAGTCTACTGTAAATTTAGTTTTGAAACATTTGAAATTGATGTTCCAAAGCCACTGGAAATGCTAGGCAGAGAATGCCCCCCCTAAAATGTTGTCCCTGAAGGAGCTCTGCTAGTCTCTTCTTGATTGTCTTTTTTTTTTTCCTTTGCACACCCCACCCCATTTAGTTCCAAAGCATTTTCATTACCTCAAAGAAAACCTTGTACCCACAAGCACTTCCAAGTTCCTTCCTCCCCCTCCCCCAGCCCCTGGTGTCTACTAACCTACAAATTTGCATATTCTGAACATAGCATATAGCGTTTTCTATACTGTATGGTCCTTGGTGTCTGGCTTATTTCACTGAGCACAGTGTTTTCCAGATTCACACTGTGGCATTTGTCACTGCTTCATCCCTTTTTATGACTGATACTCTGTATACATAGACCAAAATTAGTTTTCTAACCATAGCAGAACTTTTAAATCTAGCATTAACAGCTATTTCACTGTAAAGATACATCGTCTATTCCTAATAGAGGGCCATTTGGGGAATGGCAATTTTGTCTTTTTCTTAAGGCTTTTTACATATTTCTGGCTATGCCAGTCTTCCCTTGGGGAGATTGTCAGATTCATAAAAAGATACTGTCTCTATCATTGTCAGATGACTACGAGAGTGTGTAAGATCTGCCCTAATTTAACTAAATTTGATCTTAGCTAAGAATGTACATTGAGCTCTGTGCCTATTCTTTTTTAAAGTTTAGTTTCAAGGGATAGTATCTAGAATATATTCCTTCAGAATCTGTATTGGGGCAGCAGATCAGAACCAACAAACCAGCAGCTGCCTGTATAATTTTTTATTTGCGTGTTCCTAGTGTCTGCACTGTTGGCTTTACTCTGCGAAGCTGAGCATCCATGAGAAACTGCACGACTGTAGCCTGTGCTGTTCACTGACTAGGCCTTTGTCTCAGGAACCCTGTGTGACGTTAGTAATTGGGATTGCAGGTACTTCTGTTTGTATGATTACTTATAATCATGGGCATCCGAATTGATCCCCAGTCATGGGGATCCCCATCATGATCCCCAGTACTCACATGGCAGCTCACAACCATCTAGAAGTCCAGTCCTGGTGTATCCAACACCCACTGCTGGCCTCCAGGGGCACTGCACACACATGGTGCGTAACCATGTAGCTGGCAAAACACTCATACACATGAAGATGATAAACAAAAACATCAACGATCTTTTAAAACTTTGCAACAGTGAATCTTTCTTTTTTTTTTTTTTTTGCCTTACATCTCTGAAGACATCTTACTGTCCAGTGTTATAAAAGAGAAGTTCTTCTGCTCGCTTCAGCAGCACCGACTAAAATTAGATAGATGCAGAGATTAGCATGTCCCCTGTGCAAGGCCGGCATGCAAATCCATGACGTGTTCTGTGGTTTTTAAAGAAGGTCTCAATCTTTCTGTGGTCATCCTCTTGTATCACAAATCATGGCGTCCCTGGAGGCTTCTCCTGCACATTCATGAGGAGAAGAGCACGAGACTGGTGCCATTTAGAGTCTTAGGGAGTCTTGTTTCCTCACTGGGAGCCCCCAAAACTCTCGGCACCCGGGATCTGCAGCGCTTTCTCAAGCTTGATGTAATTTGGACATCTTACTCCTGCTGGGTCAACAGTGGTGTTCTGACATGAGCATAAGTTTTGCCTTAGAAGGGCTCTGGAATGTGCTGTTTGTTGTTGATATTTGCATATTCACAGGGGACACTGCACACATCTTATAATTCGAGGATTGAGGCCAGGATCGTAGGACTATGTGTATCCATTGGCAGACTTTTACGTGTTATCACAAGAGCTCTCCCTAACCTAACCATGTTTCCTTCTTTGCTGCAGCAGCTAGAGGCTTGGCACCTGCTTTTCTGCTTTTGCTCCCATCATCGGCTCAGGGCATGCATATCTTTTACTCTAACCCTGTTCTTACCTCCTTTCCCCTTTTACTTCTTCATCTGTATCATGCATTTCTGTAAGTTAAAATTTATTCAGCATTGCTATAAATTCTCATCTTCATTTGAACAAGATTAAGTGTAATCCTCTTATGTAACACTTGTTCCCTTATTATTGTATAAAGCTTCTGTCAGGACTGATGATACAGCACCCCAGCATGCACCAGGACCCGGTGGTGACCCCAGTACTGCCAAATAAATAAAGAGACTTGAGCGTGCCGGACCCTGTTTTGATTTCTAGAACCAAGCCAGTCACTTGTGCTGTTACTTAGAGAAGTAGCCGTGCTAGTGTGGAAGTCTGCGGAGCTATCCTGCGTCACTGTAGACTGTCTGTAACCCTGTTGCTTGGTGGTTTGTGTCGCCGACCCATAGCCTGCCCTCACACAGCCTGCCCTCACACAGCCTGCCCTCACACAG